TGCAGAAAACAGCTGGGACGCAAAACATCCTTGGGAAGAAATCTCGGGAAACCGTGCATGCTCTCTGCTGGCACGTTGCGTGCCCGAGAACAAGCAGCCTGTGTTTACATCGCTGGTGTACAAAGCCCCGGTGCTTTGCCTTGCAACTCAGTTGGTTACACGTTCACCTTGGCCATATAAATGTAGGTTAGCTTGATTTGCACATTGCACACAGCTGATATTTGGTAAATAAGTAAAAGCGTTCCTGGTTTCGGAAACGCCGCGTGTGTGGTGTGGCGAAGGTTTTGGTGCAAATCGTGATTTTGTCCTACTTTTGACATGTTTGGTTTCGTGCTCGACTCGTGATACGGGGCAAAAGTCGGGGACTCCTCATCTCAGTCAGCCGACCCATGGCACCTGGGTCTGTCGTCCCTTGACCTCCTGCCAGCGGGCGTTCGACACTTCACGTGGCCTTAAAGTTCACATGGCCTGCACAGGCCACTTAGTGGCGAATGGCGGTTGTTGTTGTTGTTCGAGTATTGCGGGGCCGATGAGCAGTCAATGGGGCCAGCAGGGCTAGTGGTCGAGTGGGCGTGGCCATGTGAAGTGGGCGGAGCTTATGGAGGGAGACTGCCAGTCCATCGAAAGTCCAAGGATGAGCCTCCCAGATATTTGGTAGTCAAATAAATTACGAACAAGTAACCCATCACACTTTGATGGGTCCCTACAAATGGTGTTTGGGAGACCCCTATTTAAATGTTTGACCCTCTCACTGTGGTGTCATGGGCTGTTTTTGTTCGAATCATGCGTCTCATATGGGGCCGTCCATAAATGACGTCACGCACCTGGAGGGGGGGGGTTCAGACATTTGTGACGATGTGTGACGAGGGGGGGGGGTGGATTTGAGAAATGTGACGTCACATCAAAATGCGCAACTTTAAATAAATATAAACAATACGTTCTACTTAAATATACTTTGTAATAAATATTTTCTCCTACAACATCAGAGTGCAGCGCCACATTAAATACGCACTACAATGACAATAGTTTAAAGCGATTTGAAGCATGTCTTATATTTTTTTGGGGGGCAAAGCTTTGTGACGAAGGGGGGGAGGGGGTCAAAAATCGTCAAAAATTGCGTGATGTCATTTATGGACGGTCCCTGTGGATGTGATGTGTTAAAATTATATATATACCTCGGGCTTCTTGGTGGGTCCACGATTTTCTTTCAACACGGACATTAAGTCAATTTTGACCTTGTAAAAGTAAATAGTGTAGTGCATTTAAAAGGTATAAACAATGACCATTAAATGCCCAACAAAAGAGGTGAGTTACACAGTAATTACCTGTGTGTGATTTATTTACGAGGCTGCCTGCGACGCATACACGCGAAAGCATTACAGACAATTACGTTTCTTTGCTTCATTTTAATGAAAACTATTTTTCTTCACACCTCTCCTTTTGACTGCCACTGGGTTGGTAAAACAAAGATGCGCAAACCTGTTTTAATTGCTAAATCTGCAGCTGCTGTGGCCTCCTGTGGGCTGTAGGGCCCTCCCAAGTGATTCTCTGGGCCTAGATTAACTATTAAATAGGCAGACCACTTACCAGTGTTTTCACATTTTTATTTTTTACTGCTAATGTAGCAACATAAACGCAGTGGATAGAGGTTCCTTAATTGTTCCCATCAGGGACCTCAAAAGACTGGTTCCTGGCCCAGAATGTTTTCCCCCCACAATTGTTTTCACCCATGCAGTCAGTCACCGTGACACCGCCGAATTCCCAGTGTTGGAGTTGTCGACGCTCCGTGATGTTAGGCGACCGCGAGAGCCACATGGCCACGTCTCGCTTGCCACCAAGACATTTGTTGATTTGCGGCAGAATCAACGGCGCGAACGCTGCAGCCGGCCTGACAGTTTCCGCGAGGAAATCGCCCCCTTCTGTCGAGCGAGCAAAACCCTCCGACGACATCCTTTTAGAGAGTGCGTTGGTCACCAGCCGAGATGGAGCAGTGGTTGTGTGGCATCACGGATATGAGGAATGAGGACAAATTTGTCTTTTGGCAGAGATGTGTGGGTGTTTGTACGTACGTGTAGCAGTCGTGTCGTGGTTGGCGCACTGCTCTACGAACCTGACGACCCGAGCTCGATTGCCGCTCGCGACCAATAACATTGGAGAATATTTTGACCATTCGTGGGCCTCTCCTAGGTCGACTCGGCCTTAAAATGAATACGTGCCATGCTGGCCTTAAGAGGTGCTCGCTGACATCGCTTGGTCCGACAGTCGGTTAATGATCTTTGTGCTATGCCTGAGTGGTCCTGTCACAGATTGTATTGGGATAATCCAAGCATAATTCACTGCTTAATTAGGACTGAAAGGACGATGACGATGATAAGTGCCCGATTAAGCTAGTGCAGGGCCTATAGCATATGTTATAATGGGGCCTAAAATTCACAAAATATACATATTAAAACACTCATTTTTTACTTGCATAGTAATGGAAATGTATTTTTTTAATTTGCTATACAGCCAGATAATACGACAAATCGCTCACCTTAAACACCCAGTCATTCATACAAGTTGAAGGCAGTCTAGTACTATAGTAATAGAGCAAGTGCAGAATCACTGATCCGGAATTGATAGCTTGAGAGCATTTAGCGCGGGGCCCTTGAAAGTGCGGAGCCTGTAGCATTTGTAGCTACTTTTGCTACGAGGATAATCCGGCACTGATGATGGTGAATCATCTGTGGATGTGCATTGCTTATTGTCGCAGGCTCATGTCTCTAAAATTTGCGATGACCTTGGAAGAACGGCGTTTATGCTGTGTTTTTGCGAACGCAATTTTTTGTTTGTTTTCTAATGTATAATTTTAAGGGCAAAGTATTAATATTCAACTGCAGTGGAGTCGAATACAAACTGCAGTGGAGCGAGGGAACAAAAGGCACACTGCAAGTGCATTAAATAAGTTAGAGGCTGTGTGGTGGATATGCAATGTTCTTTTAAGATCCCTAACTTGGTTATTTTGGATAATTTCATGAAGCTACACTTAGTGCGAGCTCAGGACCCTGCGAAGCTTTTAAACAGCTGAGCGACACTAAGTGGGCTGGCAAAGGGGTCGGCGAGTTCCGAAAATACGGGTCGATTAAAACCATAGCACGCACACTGGAGTATATTGTTGTGTATTCTTCAGCGGGACACCGCTTGCAAATCTCTGCTCGCCGATCCCATATTCATCCCATATTCAATGGGATCTCCAGCTTCTGACATGGTTGACGGACTAAGGTTGACCCGAGGAGTCATCGTGGATAGGGGCACCCATACCAATTATTTATTTTAACGAATGTTATATTTGTACGATTTGTATAAATAATGCATTAACCCGTATAGAGCACTGCATATGCAGATACATAGAAATGACGCGATATGTAAATCGGGTGCGATTTAATATGCAGAGATGGGGGGCACGCGTTCCAAGACTGAAGACACACGGCAACGGGTGTCGAAAAGTGTGGCACAGAGTGGGAGAAAGATGGTACCCATCGCAGAGAGACACGGATGAGTGTATTTGGTGTGTCTCGTTCTGATGCGCGTCTCGCTCAACACGAAGCAGACACCGAACGCGAGGATATTACGACACGAACACTAGACGGCCGAGACCCATAAACCTAAAGATATCAATTGTGAAGCCTTGGACACACACGGTATAAAATTGAGATCGACAGCAAGTGGACTGCGAATACAGAGAGACGACACGGCAGCTACACACACACAGTCTATTATGCAATTGGGGCAGAAAAAACGCGATACTGTATTAAGGCCTTGTTAACAATACACGGTGGAGAGAGCGAGGACGAGAGCGAAACGCAGAGGGTTGTAAAAACGTGGATGCCTTCCGAGCCGCATGCGGCTCCTGAAAGGAGTGCTTGGTGACGTTACAGTATTCGCGTGCATTGGGGCTTATGAAATGTAGTGAGTTGTTTTTTTCTATCTCTCTCTCACTGATTTAAAAAAAATGGCTATTCTTGTCATTTTTGGTTGCACGACCCCTGGCGTAACGAGCGCGCGAGAGAGAGCGTGAGCATAGCAGAGGGAGAGAGCATAGCAGAGAGAGCAAGAGAGAGAGAGCCGTCTCGCTCGCTGCAGCGTTGCACAACGCTCTCCGTCGCACGTGGTCGAGACGGGCACTGCAAGATCCGACCGTGTGCTGCGCCTGGGGGCTCGCCCGGCTGCACTCGCTCCCGCTTGCCGAACGAGTTCATTGATGAGGTCGCACACACGAAGTTGCTCCTTGCCACAGAGGAAGCACACGACATCACCTCGCTGGCCTCGTCAAGGAGCGTCGGTCACGCGAGCTCCGGTGGTCATCCCTCGCAGCAGCAGCAGCATTTTTATATTTTGGCTGCTCGCCGTCGAACAAAGACGGCGGTCAACCAGCGCATCGCGCGGCGCTTTGAGATGCGCCTCTGCGGCCGTCTGGAACGCTTCTTCCTTCCGATATCAGGAAGCCACGGGAGAGCTGTGCACTTCTAAATCATCCAGATTGAAAACTCGTTTCTTCAAACTACCGTGTCGTAGTAGTTTGTTGTCCTTCCCCCGCACATCCGATTTAGCGCGGTTGGCTAAGTACGGTGCGAAAGAAGTTCAACATACGCGCATACATACAAAGACAAATTATCCTTAACAGATTGTTGGGGCAATCGCTGTTAGCAAGTAGCACCTATGAAAAAGGCCGGCACGGCACACGAGGTGGGGTTGGTTGGTGGCCAGCACCACGCCCGGCACGCATCGTGTGGCGGGAGAGGATGGAGAGAGGGGGAGAGAGAGAGTCAGGAGAGAGAGGGAGCGGGGTGAGTGCAGCACTGGATGCTGTGATGCTGTCGCTGACGTCAGTGGAAGGAGAGGGGAGGCAGATGCGGCGGGGGGCTGCTGCTGCTGATGCGACCGTGGCTCAGCGCAGAGGCGGAGGAGCCGGGATTCCGCGAGGAGCCAGGGGCCACGCATCCGTCCACCCCCCTCCCTCCCCCGGGCCCCTCCCTCCCCACCCACCCACCCCCTCGTGCTCCGAGGCGCAGGGAAGCATGCACAGGTGAGGTCCGCTACACCTGGCCACACGCAGGCAGCGTGGTCAATGAGCTGCAACCCTTGCTTGCATGTGTGTCTATCTCATCATTTCTCCTCTCTCTCTCTGCCATCTCTTCTCCCGGACCTGCTGCTGCTCCGCTGCCCGATACGAATGAGACCTCGCTCCGGAGGGAGATATTGATTAGTATGGTGGTGTTGTTGTTTTTTCCCCCCGTTGTAGGGGGGTGGCGCGGTTGATTCGACAGAGGGATGCATGAGTGTCGCTTCTGCCTAATAATGATGGAATGCGCGCGGGCTGACTTTGCACGTGCAAGTTGTGTATCTGTTTGCGCAAGAGTTCTTGCTGATTTGTTTAAAATGCTCGATGCAGCAGCCGTCGCCTGTCGCCCGATCTGCGAGGACTGTGCCGTGAAATATATTCGAGCACGCCGTGTTGAAGCGCATTGCAATTACGTAGAGAGCTGTGTACGGTGGTTCAGCGTCAGAGCAAGCGGTTCACAAACGGAGGGATGCGAGTTTAAAATCATGGCTCCGGTGGTTGACTCAGCCCATTAATTTCTCTCACCCTCTGGTCGATAAAATAGGTATCGCTTTGCAGGGGAAGTCAACAGTGGTTAATCTTTGGATAGACTCAGCCCGTCATAGGAATGTGGAATTGCCACCACTGGCTCGGGCCTGCGAACAGGATGATCACCGCCTCATTGCTCAACTCACTTTGACCTCGTTTTTTTTTCCCTGTGCAAGAGTCTTTATTGTACGCATCCTGTGGTCGAGATAGCCAACTGTCTTACCGCGTGCAATGCATTCATCGTACGTGTCATTGGTCTGTGTTTCTTTAAGGTGGCATTCTTATGAAGGCGTTACTTTCACGTGCTATTAATGTACACCATCGACGTATAAATCCATTCCATTTAAGGCAATTAATTATGTAAACACACCAGTGCACTGAATCTTACGCTTACTGTCTTTGTACAATGTGAACAAACAATTGAATATTTGCGTCAATGATGTGTTTCAAAAAATATATACTACTTTGTTATACTACATTTGAAATGTTTAGGTGCAATACGCCAACAGCCGTACACAGAACAGAAACGTCGTGATACATTAATGTTGAAAATCAAACAGCAGTGGGTACAAACTAAAATATGTTCACTGCCTCGCGTTCCACCCAATGCAACGTGGATTTATTACGCGTGGTGCGGCCAACGTGGTAAGCCACGGAGAGGCCTTCTTCACCCAAAGTGGGTTTATGGATCCAGGGCGAGTGTGTCTGGCAACTGGGCTCGCCTTCACCACGGCTCCCATCTCCTTCAACAATCGCGTGGATGAAACGGGCAGCATTGTGTGTGTGTATATATATAGGGCATGATAATTGTTGCTACGCTAGATTCTTAACGTTAATTTAATTTTCACCAATGGTTACATATTACATTTAACGCACGTTTTCACCATTGCCAAATACAGTATACAATTACGGTGAAATGCACATGTAGTGTATTGGTGAGAATTAAACGCGCGTTAAGGACCAAAAATAGCAACAGATTTCGTGCCACGCTCGACTCAGCTGCTGTTGGTTACAGCGGACACGATCTGGCTGATTTGTGAGAGACATTGCGAGGGGCTTTCGTTTGTTTAGTCTTTAACCGACTACTGTATTCCGAGCAGACCAGTGACAACCAATGAACAGAGGTCGTATTTTTTTATTACTTTTTTTTTCAACCCGTCGTTGAATAATTTATCGTTCTATTTTTGGCGGTGTGGGTTCTAAACACACACACGTGAATGTGTTAAATAGATATTCCGCTGACATGCCCAGCACTCGTGCAAAAAAATATAATTAAACAGCATTGAAGAACATGGCTTTTCCCGAAAATTACGTAAAATCTTGAATAATTATTCACAAAAACACCCCCGTAGTATTATTTGAGTGTCATTGTATGCATCTAGTATCGATTGTGTCGCAAGATTTGATGACAATCTCCCTTGTGAATGGATGTCATGCTCACCACCACGCCAGTGGTTGACGTGGTGGTTGTTGTTGTTGGGTGGCTAAAGCACAGCAAGTTGGCACAGTAGGGGGCATAGGTGGTGCATCAACCAGTCATCTCAGTCGACCCGTGGCACCTGGGTGACCTCCTGCCAGCGGGCGTTCGACACTCCACGTGGCCTCAAAGTGCACCCAGCCTGGCACAAGCGTCGTGGTGACGTCACCGCCACTTAGTGGCGAATGGCGGTTGTTGATGTTGAGAGATGCCATCGCAGGCTATTAGCGCCGTGCCCCTTTTGTTCGCTCGGTGATGATGATGATACCGCGGGGTCACTTTGTGTTGGTGCGAGCCCGTGGCGTATGCAGTTGACTCGGGAAATGATATTGTTTCCATCCCCACCCACCCATCCCCACCTACCCACCCACCCATCCCCACCTACCCACCCACCCATCCCCACCTACCCACCCACCCATCCCCACCTACCCACCCACCCATCCCCCCCTACCCACCCACCCATCCCCACCTACCCACCCACCCATCCCCACCTACCCACCCACCCATCCCCACCTACCCACCCACCCACCCCCACCTACCCACCCACCCACCCCCACCTACCCACCCACCCATCCCCACCTACCCACCCACCCATCCCCACCTACCCACCCACCCATCCCCACCTACCCACCCATCCATCCCCGCCCCCGCCTTCTCATATCGCAATAATCTCCACATATTTTTCAAAGGCACCACTTTTTTAATTGTAATGCTTTTCGTCTTGAGAGCAGAAATGCCCATTAATTGAGCTGTGCGATTGCTTGCACGTGCGCGCGCGCATGCCAGTGATTGAAGTGCATCGTATACGGACAACACAATATTGGGGAGGTAATCTGGTGTATGAAGTCGATGGCGTATTTAGATTACTACTCACACTACATGTGCGCACGTTTACAAGGGCATGTTTAGATGTTATAGTACATCTTTGCATAATGGCACTTCGACGTGGTCCGCAGAGCGAGTTGTATATAAAGGCACTTTTATTCTTGTGCATCAAGAGTGCCTGCAGAGGGCAGTGTAGCAAGCAGGATTGCGATGGCTATACGTGTGTCATTTTTTTTTTACAATTTTTGTAAACATGTGGGGAGTTTCTCCAGAAAATTATGTGTTTCCCTCTCTCTCTCACACACAGAGACGAGAGAGACTGAATAGCCATTGAGCCAAACCATCACGAGCTTGCAATCTCCGAGGAAAATTGTGAAAGGTGCATGAGCACGAAGTTCCTCCCAGCGCTGCTGCATTAACCTCATCGATTTGGACTGCTGTCACTAATTGCATTTTTGGTACAGTGTGTCTCCTGCTACCGGCGGCTGCTCTGCGTTTAATGGGTGCTGCTTGTGCATAAGTGGGAGGATGGGGGAGAAGGACGTTTGTAATCTGCTGATGAATACCTGGGGTGTTTGCTAGGGTCCTCGATAAACGACAGCGAAAGTGGAAGAGTGTTTGTTTGTGCTTGTGGGGTTAATTGTGTTTACCTCGTTTATTAATAAGGGGCCGTCCATAAATGACGTCACGCGATTTTGGACGATTTTTGACCCCCCCCCCCTCGTCACACGGCGTCACAAAAAGTCAGACCCCCCCTCAAATATGACGTCACAAAGCTCTGCCCCCCCCCCCCAAAAAAAAAATCATTTCCATTTTGAAAAAAAAACATGCTTCAAATCCCTTTAAACTATTGTCATTGTAGGGCGTCTTTAATGTGGCGCTGCACTCTAATGTTGTAGGAGTGTTGTTATAACAATCGTTCTAACAATTCTATATTTATTTAAAGTTGCGCATTTTGATGTGACGTCACATTTCTCAAACCCCCTCGTCACACATCGTCACAAATGTCTGACCCCCCCCCCCTAGGTGCGTGACGTCATTTATGGACGGCCCCTAAACGCTTTACGTCCCCATCAGCGATTGCATGCTAATTTGGCGATCCACACGTTTGTGCAGAGGATCTGATTGCAAATGACGTTTAACTACAGGCATATTGTGCAGCTATATGTACTGTACTTACCAAACTGCAATGAAAAATCACTTCTCGTCCATTTAAAACGCATATTTGTGGTCGTATGACTTTTGCATTGTGCCTAAGTGCAAATGCGGTTGAATAAACGTAAATATTTATATTTTAAGAATCTTGGACTATTATATTTTCTCTTTGCACTCTTGATCACTTATTCTCAGTTAACACGTTCCTTTAACCAGATGACAGGCCGTTGAGATTAATTCCATTATTACAGATAGACAGGATACATTTAAAAAATATATAATAATGCAGTTTTGGGTTCTCAATAATTAGGGCTACACAATGTGCTTAAGAGAAAGACTGATGTTCAAATGGTTCTTGGGCGTTCTTGTTTAAACAAAATAATGAATGTTTTATGGCAATGGAGGTGAGTACTGGCGATGCTAATGTCTACAGTTTTGAAGCTGCAACCGAGATCTGTCAGTGATGTGTATCGTAAATGACATGACTTCTTAAATAGCATTTCCTGAAACTGGGACCCATAGGATTTGCCCCATTTTAACACACCACAATATCAGACAAAGATTTAATCTTGATTTGAAGCTTTCGTGACTGCAGGTGACCCATACTCTTTGGTTATTTCGGTAAAGTCACGTAGGTATAAAATGCAATAAATCACGACGTTTCGGGCGCAACACAAGCGTCCGTCATCAGGTGGGAAAGCCCCAAAGAGTATAGACAAAGATTTAGTTCCTGACACGAACAAATGAACGTTACGGCGGGACCCTGTGGTCCCATAAGCCCCCGGCTCTCGCATAAACTGCGTTGCGACGTCATTTGATGTCTGTTGAAGGCGAACGGCACGGTGATCTATTCGTCTCGACGAGCTCTACACGATGCGCTCAACAAAGTTTAAAAGTTTTGTTTCTTCTGGGAATTCGTCCTCGCTGCTGCGCTTGGACATGACACGACAACAGAACGATCCACGCTAGAAGGGTCGCG